TTTTTAAGTTCTTGCAAATATCCTGAGTTAACGCACAGCATACAATCTTAAAACTGACAAGTGAAATTTAGTTAGCAGAGCTTCTATTATTCCCAATTTATTACTCCACTGGAGAGTTGTGCAGGCTTAAGGGCTGGAGAAAGGAAAGCAGGCACGCACGCACACACACACACAGACAAAAGCCAGCAAACCAAACCCAAGGCTCCCGCTGAATTATGACTCACAATTTATAAACCATTACGTGCAATGGATTTCAACTATATTTATTGCAATACGACTGCTAGCAGTTCAAAAATCAATTTAGTAAATGTGGAGGAAAAGGGTGAAATTATTAATATGTTTTATATAAGCACCATAGCTTATCCTTCCTCTGTAAATAACTGCGAGCCCTCTGTTTGCTCAAGGCTCAGTATCTGTTCAAGGGGGTTGCCACCCACTGCTCCCGTAACAAGGGCAAGCCTAGATTTTCCCCAAGACAGTGCTCTTCAAAACAAAACCCGCTGTTAAGCGGAGCGTGCTGCTCCGTTCTCTTGTATGTCAGCACGAGGCACAGCACACACAACGCTCTCAGAGGCGGTAAAACAGCGAGTAAACCAGAAACAAGAAAATGCATGGAGTGAAAGCTGTGTTTTAAGCAGGGCATCTGCTGGTCATGATTCAGCTCTCTTCCTCTGGGATTTATCTTGCAAAACAAACACACTGGCAAGGTGGCAGAAAGGAGGGTACCAGATGGAGACAGCTGAGGGAGGATGCTGCGAGTTGGAGGACAGAAATGCTCCGTCTTAGACAACATTGCCAAGCACCTTATCTAGTAAGGAAAGGCAAAAATAATCGCAGCATCTAAGAGGAAAAACAGGGCTGAGCTTTAGCATAGCATGGAAAGGTCCACAGGCGACACAGGAGACAGCTGTGAAGCAACGCAATGGAAATCTGTTTTGTAAGGAAGGAGTGTTGCACACCCTGGGATGACTCAAGGGGATGAAAGGAGAAGGGAGACGAACATTATAAAAAAGGTGAACGTGGCACAAAATTGGAAGAACGAGGTTCCTTGGGACAGCTCAGGGGATGCAGGAAGGTTGCCTGGTGACTCGGTGAGGTAGAGAAGGGTCACGGAGGACAAAGCAGAGCACACACGCACACAGTCTCTGCAAGCACAAACAGGTTTTGAAGAAACGCTTCAGAACTCTCGGCTATAGTGAGTGACAATGTGACATGATCCTCTGCTGACGGGCGAGATCCCTCACCCCAAATGGCATTTTCCACTGGCTGGCCAGAGCTAAACACGGCTGGTGCAGCCACCACCTGCTGTCCAGCCATCACCTGAAGGTTTGGCACACTGCCTGCACGTGAAGACGCTCAGGCGGGGAAGACCTGGCACGAACGTGACCTGGCACATTAAGTGAAGCACTGGCTATGCATCCAGCCAGATACTCCGCTCTGGAGCGCACTTGACCTGCCGTACCAAAGCTGAGCCGGTCAAACACGTGAGCAGCTTACTGTCACGCTAATGCTTGTTTGGGGTTGGTTCATACTAAGTTCAGCTTTGTTCTGCCTGACCGAGATCAGCGGTAGCGCCATGAGCCCAGGCAGACACAGCATGAATCATTAGGGAGGAGCAAGCTGCAAGACAGCCGTGGGGCAAACAGAAACAGAACTGCCCGAGACCAGGACAGGCGAGATACACGCATGGCAAGGAGACGAGAGCTCCTGGGTCACCTGCCCACCACCAGGCAACATCTGAAGTACAGCTTCAGAGAGGCGGACTACGAATTCACAAGAAAGGCTTTTCCCAGCCTTGTCGAGTCAGAAGATGTTCCTTCAGAACGTAAGATGGGGAGGATGGGAAGGGGGATGACCTTCGGTTGACAAGTCCCATTTCTGAGATGGGACACAAACAGAGTCCAGACAGACATGCAGAATACCTCCTCCACAGACCAAACCAAAAGCCACAGGATGTTTTTCAGCACTGCTAGCAGATACTAAGAGGCCAAACGCTACACCTAGAGCGTGCCATGGGCAGAGACGAGCTCCCGGTCGCTGCGAAGGTCCCTGCAAGGCGACCCTGTCAGACGACCTTAAGAAGTTTGCCTGCCTTGATAACGCAGCCTACAACACACAAACAAGGTATTCCAGGCGGGGCTGATACACCATCATCCCCAGTCCGCATGCCTGGCTTACCGAGTTGGCAGTCACGTGCCCATGGGCAGGTGAGACCTGAAGGAAGAGGGCTCTTCCGGGTCAGTTTGGGGGGAGGAAAAAAGGTCTTCCAACTTCATCGCAAAAGTGGGTGACAGACACATGCAGAATGGTGGCTCGTGTGCCTATTCCTGAGCACCCTGACTGCAGGAAATTAGGGCATCTGTCACAAAAGGTTTGATGACATCGGCTTTTCCATTTTGGTGATCTGCAACCATATGGCGCGCTCCAAATGGAGAGGGTTTCTCTCCAAATCAAGAAATTGAATGAAAAAAGTAGGAGGTAAAAAGAACTGAAGTGGAGGGCTTTTCTACATGCCTTTAAGGATGACCTTTTCAAGGTTTCTTCTGTAACAACAGGAAGAAAAGCCACTTCTATTTTAAAAGAAAAACTCAGTTTCTCATATGTGCCCATGATTCCCAGGACTGCAGCTTTAAATTAACCACTGCAAAGAGGCACCAAGAAAATAACAGGAACGAATATCTTCCGGGCAAACGTTGCACACGCTGCTTGATGCGTTCACGTTAAGAAATCGCTCTTTTCCTCGACTCTTCTGCACCTCGCCTTTGTCTCACCTTCAGCAAAACACCTAAATAGGAGCATTTCCCAGGCCTCAACAGAGGCACAGATCAAAGCAAGCAAGATCACAGGAAACTATCTATGCGTGGGCTTGATGCTGCAAGATTAAATCTGAACTGTTTTCACTGCCGCTGTCCATCTTCCCTTGGAGCGATGCATTGTTACACAAGGCTTAGATGGTCAGGAAAGCAAATGCTTGAAAAGTTCCAAAATTCTATAATCCTCTCTGTCTGCTACCTCTCCAGGACCCTCGACAACCCACTGACTTCTGGCATCTCATATTTAGCAACAGGACAAACACCTGGTGATTCATGTGACCAGCCACCACCAATCTGTACAGCTCACTTATCGAGCACCATAAGCCCAAGAACAAATTTTAATGTCACGAATGATTTCCAATAACCGGTTTACCTCAGGACCTCACAGGTCGCAGCACGTCCACAGACCGTTTGTGACAGAGGAGCTCAATTCACTTAGCAAGTTATTTGCATGGACTTATTCGCTGGTCTCCAGGCACAACCCAGTGAAGCCTGGTGACACACTTTCAGCCGCACAACCCAAAGTCATCTTGGATTGAGCCAAATTTGCCCTTTCCTACCAAGGATAAATTGAGGGCAGGAGAGTACAGCAGCCCCTTGACCATGGTGGAGGTGTCTGGGCAGAGCCACAGCTTGGAGATCCTGCTGGTAGAGGGAGAAGGATAAACGACCTTTTGAGCAACTCCTTGCTACTGCACACTGTGGACTCGAGGTAAGCTACATGGACTCAAGGAAGAACCGGACAAGACCACGTTAAAGAATCCACTCAGGACTACTAAAGACACAGAAGCTGTGTTTGGCTCACGTTATCCCTAAGGAAGGGGTCATTTATATTTGCTCGATTCTAAACCTTTGTCCGAGTTATCCGTTTCTGGAGGTGGGACACTTGGCCTGACCCATGACAGCCACCCATCGTGCTCTTACATAAACAGTTAGCCAGGAAAAATGTTTCCAAGCCAGGCCAGAGAGTGCAGTAGCAGTCTTCCTACAGGAAGAGCAGGAAAAGCCCCTAACTAGCCTCAGAGCAGATCCTGTTCAGTTTAGGGGGGAGGTTATACAGCAGAGCTGCTGCCTCCGCAGAGCAGTGAGCCAACAGGTCCTGCTCAGATCAAGGTGTCTATGATTTCATCCAGCAATTCGGATATCACAAAGAACACGAAAAAGCAGGGGGCTAGCAGAGGAGAAAGGTGGCATTTCTGAAACAGGTGGTATTTCCACAGGTCCACGCTGAGCTGTGCGGCACCCTGTCAATAGCGGGGCATTTGAGGGTGCTCAGGTGGCTGCCCCTGCAAATACTGCTCAGGGACCCTGCTCAGCCCCAGCTGAGGCTTCACATGCTGTCTCAAGGCATGGGGACAGGGAGCCACATGCCCACAGCCGTGGGAGAGCACTCTCCATCCATCCATCCATCCATCGCACCCCTCTCCCTCTCCCACTGCAGCACAAGGGGAGAAGAGAAAAAGCAAAGAAACCGATGAACACCAGACCTTGCTCCTCCTGCCGAGCGCGCCTGCAAACGGACTGTCACATCCCATCAGCCAGCTGGCGCTGCTCTGCCACGTCAGAGCCCATAACTCAGGGTGACCAGGCAGAGCGCTTCAGCAAATCATCCTCCTCCACTACAGCCACGTCCCAAACAGCGGGGGAGAGAAAAGCTGCAATAAATGAGAAAGCAACGGCCCCTCCCCTTACCTTAGTTTCCTCCCGGCGAGCCCGGGCCAGAGCCGCGTCCCCCGCAGCAGGCTCAGGTGTTGTGAGTCTGCATCCACAGCAGCGGAGGGCACCTGGCCTTGAGCCGGGGGGCGCGGGGGGCTGCGAGACAGGCCTCTAGGACGCCTACGACTCAAAAAACCTGAAGCCTGGAAACTTGCTTTTCGCTTTAAATGAAAGCTGCATTTCTCCAGAAATCACCTAGGACCTGAGGCTTGAAAAATACCCAGTACGGAGCGACAAAGACCCCAACACCGGAAATACTGGCGTTAAATAAAGCACCCGCCCCACACGCGCCCTATAGAGGGAACAAACATTGCAAAGGCACCGCAAGACACAAACAGGCCACCTACGTGTCCACGAGGCGGAAATGTACTCGGAGGAGGTGCTCGAATCGCTTCGACCACCAAGTGAATTCGCAGAAATCAAAGCCTGTGGAGCGGCGGCCACCAGCGGTTCCAGAGAAGAGGCGACCGCTAACTCCATCTCCAGTCGAAACTCAGAATTTGAGTCAGAACTCAAATCAGAATTTGGCTCACGGCAAGCGCACCGGCCTCTTGGGACGGATATCCCGTTCCCTGCTCAGCCCTGCCCTTCTGCACAGCCCAGTGCTGGCTCACGCACGAGGACAAGAGCCGCGCGGAAATGTTTTCTTGGTGTCAAGTGACAGCGTGAAACGACAGCGAGGTGAAATTTGCTGGTTTCACAGCAATTGTTACCCACCACTAAGTTTAAACTTCTCCGGAAGCGCAAAGGGAACGGCAGTTTCCCACCGCCTCGCCTCCCCTTGTTCCAGCCCTTCCCAGTCCACCGCGTCCTTGCTCGCGAGCTGCCCGGCTTGGTTTTGGTGGGCTTGCTTGTTTTTAGAAAGCAGAGCTGCCGCGTTTGGGCCCAGAACGAGGTGGCTCTGCTGGGGGACGTGGCTTTCACAGATGGAGCAAAAAGGAAAGAAAACGGGCCTCTTCCCCACCGAAAACCTCTTCCCTGCGCTCATACCCACGTGTAAAGCCACCATACAAAACAAGAAAAATTACATATGACCATCTTGCTATCTGCTTTGGCTGCCTCTTCAGCCTTCAGGCGTTTCCGTGCCTGGTTTTCCCCAGTTTTATGCGCGTTTTTAGATTGGTGCTGACAGACCCACTCAAGGGACGTGAGAAGTTGAACGGGATTCGAGGTCTCCCCCTCCCCTCGCGCTCCCAGCGCTTCCCGTTCTTCCTCCCGTCATCAAAAATGGTTTCAGTTCAGCACCGGGGAGAGAAAAACACGCGTGGTATAAGCCACGACGGCTGATCTCTTATGACATTTATCTTCGCTCAGGAGGAGAAACGGAGAAGTCACTTGTGGCCGGTTTCACCTAGGCTGTCAAGTTTTTCAGTGCCGTGTCTGGCCTCCGGGTGACAGTCGCATTTCCGCAGGCCGGCGCGGTGACGGGTCGCAAATGGGGCTCCCTAACGGGCGGCCCCGCACCTTCGGGCCCGAGCAAAAGCGGCACCTGCAAGCGCGCAGGGACGGATGAGGGACGCGGGACGCCGTCTCCCCCGTCGAGAGCTTCCCTTCAACGAAGGAAGCCCTTCCAGGACAATTTACTAAGCTGCACCTTCCTGGAAGTCTTTCTAGCATCTGGTTGGAAAGACGGACGGCGCATCCACCTCGCGGGGCTGAAACGAGAAGGAAGAAACACAAAACTCTAAGAAGGAAGCGTTGCCTGTAAGAGCTGTTCCCCAAGCACAGATGTTGCCTGGGCACTAAGGAGCAGCTCTGCTGCTGCTCAAAGCCAGACGGAGAAGCGAGGCCGGTCTTTTCTCGAGCGCCTTGAGCGCTGTGAGGCCAGGATGCTCCGCTGGAGCAGAAAGTCCCCGGGGAAGATTTCAGCAGCGGAGCCTCTCTTGAGAAGGGCGGCACAAGGTCTGTGCGGCCGCCTGACCTCGCTCAGTCCCAGAAAGAAAGAAGCGCTTTTTCCAAGTACCCCAGGCCTGCAACTACACCAGCAGATTGAACCATGCCAGGGTAAAGACAGCGACCGTTTGGCTATGAATTTGTTGAGACAGCTCCCGGCCTGGTTCAGGCTCTCCTGAGCACGGCGCGCCAGTCGGCACAGAGCCGGAGCCGTTCCCCGCGGGAACACCGGATGCGCCCGCACTGTCTTCCAAGGGAAAAACGTTCAATGCGGTGCACACAGGCTGGTCTGTGCCAGACAGCCTCAGGGCTAGGGAACAGCCTGGGGAGCGCTGGCTTTACTCTTTCAGATGTAGTCTAAGGGCCTGAGGAGAGCCTGAGGGATCTCCAGGGGATCCCCAAGGGGCTGGTGAGCCCTCAGGTCTACGTTCCCCTTTCAGATGCTCTCACCGAGCAGGGCCGAGTGGGACTCTCTGTGTTCATCTGCAAACTTAAGTACCTTTGCCCTATGCCTTTAGCAACTTTGGAAGGAAGATGTTTATGCAGGCTCACAGGGAGATGAAGCAAAGACAGGGAAGGAAATCTGTTGGGTGTTACTAAGCGGAATAATCACTTCAGACTCAGGAGTTCCCCAGAGAGGAGAACAGCTGAAGGTCGGGAGAGTCTCTGTGGTATGTACAGACGCACTCTCCGTCTGAACCAGAGAGGCTGCTCTTAGGTTCTTACAGTCCTTTCCCCGTCGCAGGATGCCCCTTTGCTCCTGGTAACGTGCCGTGTTGTTAAAAGCTCCTGGCTTCCCCCCGTGAGTATTTAAACACTTCTGGCATTCTCCAAAACCTTTCAGTTATTTGAGTTCACCAGCCATTGCCAAAAAGCCACGCGGCGGCGGCATCACTGGTATATTACTCCCACGCCAGAGGCACACCCGCACCCACGTGTTGTGCCACGCTCGGAAAGAAACCCCTGTGGGATGCGAGCGAGGAGCTAGGCTGCATCTCTGCAGAGAGCCGTCGGGGTGTTCGGTGACAGAGCGCCTAACGGTGTCAATAGCTTCACGCTGTCAGGTCTGATTTAGGCCCAGCTGATCCTCTCCGCAGACCGGAGGACAGGGTAAACGGTTTCTCGGGGTCCCTTCCGGCCCTGACTCCCCAGAATACGGGCTAGCCATCAATTTTTGCTTGTCCAGAAGTTGCTGTTTGCTATGCCGATTAGACTAGCAATGAGTGACCCCCCCGCCCCGGGTGACGGCACCAGCACACAGGGCACGCAGTTTGCTTTAAAGACCATGCAGCTTCAGCTGACACCACGGACGCGTGGCAGGGGGGCGAAGAAGGGCCACCACCCTGCCCGCTGCCCTCCCGCGCCGGTGCAATGCCACCACGCTCCCCTTCCCCCCTAAAAGACACCGAGGGCCGAGACCCCCGGGGAAATGAAGCTGATGTGTCGCTTTGTAGAGGGCAGGGAATTCAGGGCAGAAAATCGTTGACGTGTTGAGAAATCTGAAAGCTCTTCCAGGACTCACGAGGTGCGAAACAGGCTGTTTTCTGGGGAGATCTCTGTTTTTTCCCCTTTTCTGAAAACAATGAGGATTTAAAACAAGCAAATGAACGGACCTTACCCTGACTGATTTTTCTCTTCAAGCTTTCACTTGAATAATTCTCTCCCAGCTTCCCATCACTGCCTGTACCAACAGCCACTAGAGGTATTGATCAAGTACTGAGTCACTTTTGAGCCAGCACCTGGAAAGAAAAATAAAGTTCTCTAAAAGAAAACTTATCTAAGCACAAGAAAATAAGGAAGGAGAGGGCTAAAAGCATTGGTATTAAATGCAATACAATCTGGCTTTATCTAGCATCCTTTGTGGGTAATTCCAAGTTGCCTTACACGAATTTAAAAATGATTAAACGTAATACCTCCTTGAAAGAGCCATTCCATTTAGGGACATTTCTTCTTTTTTATTTGTAGGATTAATGCAGTGCCTAAAAGGCCTATTCACGGGTCCTATTGTACTTGCTGGTATATTAGTGCACAACAAAAGGGGCTTACAATGGATGTGCAAGAGAAGAGCCACTAGACAGACACTGATAGTCAGGGAAGAATGGGACCTGGCGCCCATCTGATCCACAGTAGCCCCATCACATCAATGCCTCAAGGACTGGGTGTCAGGCACCGCAGCGAAAGCAGGTGTTTGGAGGTGTGCAGGGAAGTGGCTTTGGAAATGTGGACAGAGAGCTTTCCCCAAGCATAAGGGGCCTTCTGGGAAGGAAGGCAGAAAGTCCTCCTTTGAAAACCTTACCACTAGCTGGTGGAAGCTGGCATCTCTATCACACAAACACATACATATGTTTGCACATACAGAACATCCACCGTTAAAAGATACAATAAGCTCAGGCACCAGGGCATGAAGGCAAGGGAATCAGGACCAACGGAGGAGAGGGGACTGCTGGCGGCAGGCTGCAGAGACAGAGATGCTATGGCACGAAGCAGCCCGCGTGGGAACTGTTCTGCAACTGCCAGCTCATCTCTGTTTTCCCTTCGGCTTCGTACAGCCACCCGGGCAGAGGAACGTGCCTAGCTTATAGCCTGCTTCCACATTTCTTTTCCTTAGTTAGAAAGACTAGAATGAATGGTCAAGTCCCGATCCTTTGCTACTTGTGCAGTGTTAACAATATCTTCAATACACGAGCAACTCCGGTTCCTGCACTCACAAGCCTCCTTTACCGCTCTTGTGGAAATGGCCTCTGCCAGACAGAGGATTACAAGTTCAGCTTAGAGAACAAGCACTGACAACAATGATCCTATTTCCCTCTTCTTGTGTCTAGTCGACTGATATTGAGGGAAGAGCAGCGCAGACACGACTATGAACACCAGAGCTCGCTCCCCAGTCTCTTCTCTCAACCGCTTTTTCCTTGCACGTTGGGGCTGGCAGAAATATATTCTGCTCTTTCGCCTTTCTTCTGCAGAAGGACTCATGGGAGACACGATGGGGTCTACCGAGGCGTGGGTGGCCTGAAGAAGGTGGGTCAGGACTGGTGGGTCACATGGGGGCACCAAGTAATGCTGACAAGAGCACAGTCCCAAACAAACCAGGGGAAGTGGTCCTTCACGCAACGGGCAGTGGAGCTGTGCAGCTCCTTGCTACAGGACATAGGCTGCTAAAGGTTGCCTGGGTTCAAGGGGAGACAGGGGGTAAGTTCACGGGGGAAAACCCACGAAGGATTACTAAGTGCACGGAAATTACGTCTCGCTCAGGAAGTATCTGAGCTAAAATGGGTGGAGGCTGGGTCACATACGCTTGCCTGCTCTTACTCTTCCCTGAAAACGTGCTTACAGGTGCGTGAGTTCCTCGGCTTTTGGAGTTGCACTACAAGTTGGTCAGCAAAAATGGTCAGGTGTGAGGGGGAAAAACATAGCCCTTCCGGAGAGGCTCCCCAAAAGGCTGCATAATTCCCCTTGTCTGGCTTGTGGTGTGGCCCCTGCAAGCAGGCGGGGGCCTTACCCCGGGCCCAGCTGCTGCAAAGCAGGTGTCAGACGGTGCTGACTGAGCACTGGTCCAAGCTGCCTACAAGTGGGAGTGTGCTGAGGCAGATGTGAGGAACGGCAATATTGTCCTAATGGAGGGGCAGCAGGCCAACATTTTTGTTGTTGTTGGGCTGTTGGGCAGTTTTTTTTTTAAAAAAAAGTAAATATATTTAATTCAGTGCTAGAGGTAACGTACCTGAGAAAAGAGAAGGCGATTAGTGCACCATTACATGCTGCCGTTCCGCAGCTCTGCACGTGTTCATCTCCGGTGCCTGCTGGTTTGGTCCTCTCTGTTCTCTCCCTGAAAGCATAACAGTGGGTTTCGCGTTTTTATTATGCCGTGCATCTGTTACCACTTCTGATCAAATCTCCCAAACAAATGTGTTCCCCTCGGATCGCCAGCGCTTAAAAAAAAAAAGGAGCAGACCTCATCTGTAGAGCTGTTACCCAAACCCGCGCCCTGCGCTTCTCGCCTGATGCGGGGCTGGCGCGTCCGACCCTCTCCTCCGCCTCTCCTGCTCGCGGGTGCCTTGCGGGGTGTGCTGAGCGCGGGCGGTCTCAAGCGGTCCCGCGGGCGCACGTGAGCGCCGCTCCCTGCCCACCGTCGCCCACCTGCCTGCATGGGTTCCTGCTCCCCCACCTCTGCGGCCCGGTTCAAAATAAAACGCACCGTGCTGCTGCCAGCTGCTGAGCGGCTCAGCTTGGAGGCAACGTAAGGGCGCCCGCGTGTTGCTGCTCCAGCGGAGCAATTTGCCTGTCCGTCCAGCCCTGAAATTAATGAAGACGTTCCCTTCCCACAAAGCAGGATGGCATGTGTCACCGTCGCCAGCCAGCTCCTTTCAGCGGAGCAGATATTACCGAGATGAAGAGGGCCCTGAGCAAATATGAGCGTGATGCCGGAAAAAAAAAATCTGTCCCTTTTGTGTTCTTCCTAATACGCGACCGAATTCAGCGAGGTTGCTCCCTGGCAGCAGGAACGACAGCTGCCCCGCAGCCCGTCTTTGCCACGTTCGCGGACGCTTGCTTGCCCTCCTCTCATCCGAACGTTTCCTTGCAGCGCTGACGTACAGCGCCGGGGCCAACGCGCCCTCAGCCTTGGGGACACGAGTCCAGCTCTTGCCACAAAAAAGCGAGTCGGCCTGCCCTGCTCCGTCGTTTTAACCCAACTCAGAGGCGTGCCCTGCCCCTCTGCTCAGCAGAAGTGCTTGGCCGTGGTCCCTGGCCACCCCAGCAGATGTAGCTGCTGAGGATCCAAGCTGTGCAGATGGACCTCAGGCTCAGGGCAAGCTGCTGAGGACGACCACAGTCAGCCCGTTCATTTGCTTCCCTTTTATTTCTCAGGTGCCACTAATTTCTGTGGCGGGAAAGGGGAAAGACTGCCCGATTCGCGGGCCCTCCCCTCCCTTCTTACCCCTCACGGTACCCCGGGACCGGTGTTTCCCACGCGAGCAAAGGCAGGCGGCTGGTGCGGGCAAAGCTGTCTTCTCCCCGAGACGCCGCAACGCAAGCCAAAGGTCAGCGCGTGTCCTACTTGCTGCTTCTCCGGCTGTATGACAACAGCAGCAAGGACGATACTTAACATTTACATAGCCCTCTCAACTTGCAGAGCAAAACATTAATGAATAAATTATCCCCCCATCTTTTTCCCGAGTTGGCAGCTGGCAGGCAAATATCCCTCTGCCTCGCGGTGAAAAAAACCCAGTCTGTTCGGCAAACGCCCAAACCTGACACAAAACCGATGACCACTTCTCACCGTGAGGCTGACAAATGGTTTTGGTGTTTTTTTTGTCTATTTACGTTCCCCAGCCCGTGGAGGTCTGGCTGTGTACAGCGAGAAGCAGTCCTGGCCTAAGCAGCTTGCAGCCTAAACTCAGGCAAAATACGGTAGTTAAGTGTAACTGCGACGGGCTGAAAATGGACCACAAAAACACTAAAATCCCCTTTCCTCTGCCACTAAGATTTAGGGCCAGAAAGCATTTGCTTTCTCGGGAAAAAAAAAAAAAAGAGTTTTCTTTTTGACAGTTTGGGTTTTTATAAGAAAGAAAAGGGGGGGAAGAGAAGGAT